AGCTTCTTGCCCCCCACTTTCCATCTTCTTACTTGGAATTCAGTAGCTTTACAGTAGAGTGGCCCTTTCTCCCACCCTGGAGGGTGCGGTAGAGGTACTATCTGTGGGCTTGTCTGCGTGGAGGAGGGGGGCCTCCTCCCCAGATCCTAGCCTTGCCAAAGCCTACGGGAGAGCCCCCTCCTGTGCAACAGCTGCAGCCCCCAGTCCTTGCCGCTATGCCATTAGAGTGGGTGTCGGGGAGCACTCCACGTTCTCGGTGTTGGCAGTGGGGTGTGGCCGGAAGGGGCAACTTCACCAGACACCCCTCTGCCATCCTACCTGCCCCTTACGTCTGGGATTACATCTATCCATCTGAGGATTGCTTTGGCTTTAGACACTTGGCTGGCATCTCTGAGGCTTCCCAGAAATGGGGTGGGGGAACTGCTCTGGTGGGAAGAATCCCCTTCCCCCTAATCCTAATCTAGTTTGTTCTCTGGGGCATGAATTTGTTTTATGTGCGTCCAGGGATACTCTGCAAATGAGGGGTGCATCCCCTCCCAGCCCAGCTGTGTCCTTTTGTTACCCTGCTTTCACTTGGGGGTAGGGGCAGGCACTGGACAGTCCCTTCCTAAGAGGGGCACTGTTGAGAACCCCAGAGTCCTGGCAGCCAGCTCACCTCTCCTCACTGCTGTCTGGAATCATCTCTCTGGAAGGGAGGTGATCGGTGTACCAGTGGGAGCTTTGAGCGCCTGGGGTGCACACCTGGGCCTGCTCATACCCAGCTGTGGGGCGGTGTACTTGGGTGGGAGAAAGCCGGCACTAGGGGGTTATTGTTACAGGGCTCGGGTTTCTTCCCCTACACTGCTCTGGGCTCCACTCTTCCCCAGGGCTTCTCCCACCCTCCCGTACCGGCTGCCTCCCTTCAGTCTGCCTGGGAGGAGGAGTGGAATTGGTCTCCGGGGGCCTGGCAGGTTGGAGAAGGTTGAAGAACAACCCCGCACCCCTTTGCTCTAAGAAGAGAGACCTGCAGTGGAGAGACACCGTGCCCCTGCTCCTCCCAGAGCTGCCTCACCCCAGGCCTTTCCTTTTGTCCTGCCCCCTGACCTTTGCCTCTGGGGCAGATTGGCGGGGAGGCTGCGGGCTGCTGACGGTGGAAAGGAGGGGTGTGTGAGCGTTGGTTGACTTTGGCTGAAAGGGAGAGGTGAGAGGTGTGACACCTGGGCCCTTCTTCCCATCCTCCCAGAGCTGGAGGAAGATGTCCCCCCAAATGGGATAATTGGAGCACAGCTGTCAGGGTGCTCCCCTCCACCACCTTGGCTGCCTTTGCCAGAGGACTGCAGGGAAGCTGGGATCTGAGACCTTGGGCTCCAGCCCCACCTCTTCCTTCGAGGTGGGGGCAGCTTCGCTGTTTCTAGCCGCAAACTGGATGGGGTAGAGAGGTGTGGAGTCCGGCAGCCAGGTGGGTTTGGTGGGGCAGAAGATGGGGAAGTAGGCCTATTCCCTATGCTGTGTAGGGTGGGATAGAGCGAGAGGTCTGGGCTCCCCTGTTCCCATCGCCCACACCAAGAGCTATGTATATGTGGGTGGGATGCCAGTGGGTGTCAGCCCCAAGGCTGTGGACTGGACTGAGAGTCCTGGCTGTGCGGCTTGCTCTGAGGCACAGGAAAGACCTAGAGGCTGGGGGTGGGGGCGACCTGACCGTGCTGGTGTGCACGGGGTCCTTGTGTGTGTGTGAAGGTTCTCTGACGGCAGGAGCCCTCTGGCCTATCATGCCAAGTTCTGCACAACCTCCTGCCACCTCCACCAAAGGAGGTTGGCTGTGAGTGGAGACCTCATCCTGCACGGCCCTGGGCACCTTGCCTCTCCCCAGAGCCCCCAGTTTCAGGGCACTGGTGTCAGGGGCTGTACAGGATGTGGCTCCCCATCTGTCCCCCACCAATCTGGCCTCTTTCGCCGCCCGCTCCTAGACGTCCAAGAATGTGAAGCACGTGGATGCCCGTAGTGGGGGGAGGGGGAGCGATGCTTATCGGGGGCTGCTGAGCTAGGGGCCGTCTTCCTCCGGGCTACACCCAGAGCCACCCCCACCCTACCCCAGGGAGGAAGAAGGGCGGCGCCGAGAGCATTGAGCCCCCTCCCCAACCCTCCCCAGGGGCTGCGAGGGGAGCCGCGGAGGAGCGGGCGCCAGCTGGACTGGGAGGGGAGCCGCTGGCCGGGGGCCCGGCTTATTTCCTGCTGATCTCCTCCAGGAAACCGGCCCCTTGTGCGCGCCTGCGAACGGCCCTGGGGCGTGGGGAATCCGGAGCGCCCTGCGCCTCCCGCCTTCTGCCCGCGGGGGAGGGGGAGCGGGCGGGGGAGGGGCACCCTGGCAGTGCAGCGCTGCGCAGGCGAGAGGGGACGCCTGGCCTTCTGGGCCGGTTCCAGCCCTCTGCTGGAGCTGAGGTGTGGTGCTTCTCCAGCCCGATCCTGCAGGAAAAGGAGATTTGTGGGCTGGGGACTCTGGGAAGGGAGGCGGGTGGGGAGGGACCTGGCCGCGGCAGTCCTTCCCTCGTACGTCTGGCGTGTAGAGGTAAAGCAGAGTCCTGACTCTTGGAGTGGCTGCGAGGGTCCCAGAATGCCCCGTGCTTCCCTAGGCTGCTGGCTGGAGGCCTAGGGAGGTGTGGACCGGGCCAGAGCTCTGGGTTCAAAGGGCGCAGTGGGAAACCTTAGAGCTGTTACCTTGGTGACAGGTGGGGACATGCTGGGGGCGGGGGTACAGACGGTGTTTGAGCCTTAGAGGCAGCCAGCTGCTGCCAGGTGGGTGGAAAGGAGGCCTCACCCAGCCCAAACTAGCCCTGGTCTGGGGTCAGCCCCATCCTGCCAAAAAAAAAAATTTTTAAGTATATTCTTTCAGTTCCAGAAATACCCTCCTGGACTTTGCCTTAGCTCCAAATTTCTCCGGGCTTTTGCCCCTTTAGCCAGTCCCTGGCCTTAGAGCTCTCTGTCCTTCATCCTGGTATCCTGTGTGTCTCCCCACGCCCACCTCCCTTCCCTCCACCCCACTCTGTACCCCAAAGCTCCCTCTGTTCTTAGTCCCTCTCCTGTCTGGTCCATTTTGGAGGTGGGGCCTTGGGGGATGTGGGCTCAGGGCTAAGGATGGGTGGGGAGGAGAGAGGCGGGGAGGTCAGGGCCTTCATCTTCTGCTTGTTGGAACACTGACAGATTCTAGACCATGGTCCCCCCACACCGCCTTGTCCTTGACACCCCCCCCCAGTCTGGATTGTCTATTGTTACTCCTTTTACGTCTTGGAAAAAGTTAGCACAACAAAGGGCTCCTTTGTGGCTCACCCCTCTGCCTCCCAGCCTCACCCAGGCCCCCCAGCCCCGTCCCCCCCCAGCAGCTGTTCGCAGGCCTCTTGCTGGTCTGATTGGCTTGTCTGGCTTTGGGGAGAGTGAGGTAGGGGAAAACCAGGCCAGGGCAGTTCAGTGTTGGGGTGAAGAGCAGAGGGGTGGGGTTGGGGGGTGGTCAGTCAAGAGTCTGTGGGCTGGTCGGGGTGTGGGTATCCACTGGTCCTTTGCTGCAAGGCCAGTCTCTGGGTGGGGACAGGGACGTGGGGTCACAGCAGTGCTGGTCAGCCAGGCTGACCAGGGAGATGGTGTCCAGGCCCTACTAAGAGCCAGGAAAACTCTGCCAAGGGTGTCGGCCTGGTTCCCTGTCATTAACCACCTGGCAGCCCCTCGTGTGTTGCAGGTAACCAAAGGGTGGAGCACAGCCAGCCTGTGTCCAGGTCCTTCTTCAACTCTGCCTGGTCTTTGTGGGCCACGTGACTCATAGCTAGAAGGGGCTTGGGCCAGAAGCTCTAGGCCCTTTTAAATTCCAGAACCTTGTGTGCTGGAGTTTGGGGCGAGACTAGGTAGGATTCTGGGGTATGGGAAGAAGCAGGGATCTACCTCCTCAGGGAGGCATCCTTGCCCCTCTCCTTGGCCCTGGACAAATAGCATTGGCAAGGGTCAGGGGGATGCTGAATGGCCTCTTGGGAAACTGGGATTGCCTGGGTCATAGTTCTCATCTAGCAAGACAGCCCCAGGCTTCGGGCACCGACAGCCCCCACAGTGCCCAGCCCTGTCTTGCCTGGGGTGATGGGCACAGGCCAGGTGCTGGTGAGAATTTGGCTAGCGGGAACTGCCCCTGCAGGCCGGGTCACCCCTCCTGGCTGCCCTCTTGGAGCTGAATAACAGAAGGGGAGGGGATAGTAACCCGGACATAGTATTGAAGCTAGACAGACAGTTCATTGATGGGAACAGACCCCCTTTGTCACCCTGCTCCCCTCAGACACGGGGCACCCAGAGCAGTGGGCTTCTGGGGCCCATAGGGACTCCTCTCCCTAAGTCCCAAGGGGGTCCCCTGCTTATCTCAGGGAGTCCCTGCCTGCTCTGATCCAACACTTGGAACTCTTGTTTGTGCGCCCTGCCTTGGGTCTCTGGCCAGGGGATTGGATTGTTTGGGTGGAGAAGGGCCTGTGACTCCTGGCAGAGGGGGTGGAGGGGGTAGCGGAAGCAGCGGGGGTAGGGGAGTGGCTGGCTTTGAATATCCTGTTGACCCCAGTTTCCTCTGCCCCCAGCTTGTGTTCTCTTCCCTCCCTCTTCACCAGGCCTTAACTCCTTCCTGACTTGGAGGAGATGGGGGCCAGGCCACCCAGGGGCTGGGGATTTAGGACCCAGCTAACCCCCGCCACCCCCCATGTATAGTCATGTCACATACAAATCTGATGGTTTATCATCTGGTCTTTCTGGTTTGAAGCTTGGGTCCTGGGGAAATAGGCAGGAGTGATGAAGTGCTGGAGGCTTCACTGGCAGCCTCATCCCCAGAGACTGGCCGGGCAGTCAGAGCTTTTCTGAGGCCCTGTCCCTGCCCCCGAGGGTGAATCCTGGCAGCAGTGGTGAGGCTGGGAGAGGCTCCCCAGAAAGATCCTGAGGCAGGATGGGCACGGAATTAAGGGTGGCGACCTGGGTCTCTAACCGCCCCTCCCCTCTTCTCTCTCTAGCCATTGAGACCCAGAGCAGCAGTTCCGAGGAGATAGTGCCCAGCCCTCCCTCACCGCCCCCCCTCCCCCGCATCTACAAGCCTTGCTTTGTCTGTCAAGACAAATCCTCAGGCTACCACTATGGGGTCAGCGCCTGTGAGGGCTGCAAGGTGAGTTGAGGGGGTCATTGGGAAAGACAGCCCTGGTTAGACAAATAGGACGTCCCCACTGTCAGGTCCTGAGTGTCAGGTCCCTGTGGGGGGATGTCCGTAAAGCTGCTGCTCGTGCTTCTCTGCAGAAGGTGGCAGCAGCCTTGGCGAAGAGGAGGCCTGTAGTAGAGCTCCCCCATAGATTAGTAGGGGTCCCCAAGCCAGAGGTCCCTCTCCTGCCTGAGCTTCTGTCTCCGTCTCCATCCTCCAGCTGGCAGGGCGTTCGCCTGCTCTGCTACCGCTGCCCAGGTTGCCATAGTGAGCTGGCTGCCGACTGGCTCTTGGCTGGGGACCCAGGAGGCCTGCCTCCTCCCCCACCGTGGCCCTGCCTGAACCTTGCCATGGAAGCCTGGCAGAAGGCAATGAGGAGCAGGCACCCTGCCTTGGCCTCCTTCAGGTGCCCAGTCTGTGGGCTCCCCAGTGTCCGGCTGGATTGCCCTCTGCCCATGTTAGGCTCCAGGGTGCAGATATATAGCTGCCACCTTCCCAGCAGCTGTGGGCATGGCCTCTCCCCAGGGCCTGAGCCTCTGTACCTGTTTCTTCCCCAGAGATGGGGGCTCAGAAGCTGCACAGCTTTGGGGCTGGGGGCACATGGAATAGCTGTTCCCCAGGTGTGGGACCAAGGTCAAGGGCAAAACAAAGGCCTTGGGCTGTATGTGTCTGCCTGTCCTGTCTGGTTGTTTCCAGTTTGTCCCTGGTCTGTCTGTCTGTCTGGTTAGTCTGGGTTGCAGCCCCTGGCCAGCCTGGGTCTACCTGTGATCAGCATATGCACATCTGCCTGGTTGGTGAACACGTCTTGCTCCTGAGCGTGTGTGCGCGTCCCTGTCGCTTTGGCTAACCTGTGTGTGTCCATCTGTCGCCTCTCCCTGCTTGCCTTCCTGCCTGCCTTCTCTTCCTGTGCTCTGAGCCCAGGGCTGCTGGTTCCAGAGCTCTGCCTCTCTCATGTTGAGCTCCATCTCCCCCTTTTCCTGATCCATCACTTATCAGGAGGGAGGAAGCTAGGTCTATGGGTGTGGGTTGAGAACCCTAGATACTGGGATTCTTCGGGGGACGTCCTGTGGGTGGACCTTTCTCCCATCTTACCTGGCCTGCTCAGGTAGGTGACCACCAAAGGCGTGGGGACAGTAGCTGGCCCAGCTGTGTACCCAATCTGTGGATGTAGCTGACCTGGCTCCCTCCCCTCTGTACCCAGGGCTTCTTCCGCCGCAGCATCCAGAAGAACATGGTGTACACATGTCACCGGGACAAGAACTGCATCATCAACAAGGTGACCCGGAACCGCTGCCAGTACTGCCGGCTGCAGAAGTGCTTCGAAGTGGGCATGTCCAAGGAGTGTGAGTGCCACAGCCATGGCCAGGCCACGGCCCTGGCAGGGCCTCAGTGCTTCGCAGGGCCAGGGGAGCAGGGCTGTGTGTGTGTGTGTGTGTGTGTGTGTGTGTGGACACAGAGCATGCTCGGGGTGCAGTGTATAGGCTTTGGGTTAAGGGCAGTTTGTGCATAGCGGCAAGGACCTGTGTTTGTCTGTGTGTCTAGCCAGCTGTGTGTCTGTGTGTGGACAGCTGCTCCTGTCTGTGTGTGGCTGTGTCTCCTTCCAGCCAGCTTGCTTCCAGGCCCTGCTTGGTTCTGGGGCGGGGCTCAGGCATACCTGAGTCCTCCCGATGGTGCCTCTCAAGGGAGGCCCACACAGAGGGGTCCCGGTTGGTGTTTTTGTGTGAGGGGAAGGTGCGGCTGGCCATTCAGGGTGCCATCTAAAAGCCATTGTCTGGTGAATCCTGGGTCCTAGAGTTGGAAGAGAGAATTGGGACTTCTCAGATCCCAGAGGAATGAGGGTTTCCAGTTTGGGCTCAGCTGAGGCCCAGTGGAGGGAGGGAGGGAGGGCTGGACAGGGAGACCCTCTCGTGTTGAATCATGTGTGTTGCTGTGGTGACCAGTGATTGATGATGTCAGAGATAAATGATGCTGACAGACGCCTCCTTGTCTGCGTGGCCGTTGCTATGGAGCCTGAGCCTTGGGGGATGGGGTTGGGGAGGGGGTCACAGGACCCCCTAACCCTTTGTGGGGAGGGCAGTGGAAGAGGGAAGGGGAGGGGTCTTGGAGGGATGTGAGGCACCCCAGATGGGAGCAGAGGGCCCTGCATCACCCCGCCACTTCCTGCCACAGGAGGCAGGGGCTGTGTTGTCCGGAGCTGGGAAGTGGTGGCTCCACATTGTACAGCGGGTGACAACTTGGGAACCGCAGGCCTGGGACCCTTCCTTTCGGGGCCCAGCAGCTCTGCCTTCCTCTGCTTCTGCCACCTTCTGCTCCCAGAGCTTTGCAGCACAGAAGGACCAGGGTGGGGACCCCCTCTCCCTCCCACCAGGAACTCCCCCTTTCCCTCCCTCCTCTTCTCCACCGCTCTGTGCCCCGGAGCTGAGCAGCTGCCATTTCAATAGAATTAAAGCTTCCGAATGATAAACGTCTTGTCACAGCTGCAATTTTCTCTTCCCAAATTATCCCCCCACTCTCCCTCTCCCTCTCCATTCTACCCCTTGCACTTTATTGAATTTGCAGAATCGACATGAGTGATCTCCAAATTATGCCAGCTCCCCCCACCCCCGCCCCACCCGCTGCCCCCTCCCCAGGCCCCCCACCCCTACCCTCTCTTCCTCCAGCGTCAGCAGCCGCTACCACTGGCCCTGTGAGTGATTGTGTGTCTGGGATAATCGGCTGGTAACGACCCCATCGCTTCTTTAAAGCCGAGTGGTGTGTGCGGCTCAGCGCCCCTGGTGATTTGTCAGCTCCCCCGGCTAATGGGCCGAGAGATTCTCTCACCCGGGCCCCCACTCAGACTGGGGAGCCCTACTCCTCTCCTGCCTGCCCAGGAGCTGCTCTGAGCTAGTCCCAGAGACTCCAGGGAGGCTGCTGTCAGAAGGGCTGGGGGCAAGCGGATGCAGGAGCTGGCCCTTCCAGGAAGCAGAGGGATGGGGGGCAGGGGGGGCAGCGTGCAGAGGTGGGACTCTGCACACCAGCTTTCAGCCCTGAGCACTGGCGCAGCTGAGTGTGGGCTGGCACAGATGCATGGGGTGTGCGGGGCACTGCAGCCTGGTCACAGGGCGTGTGTGCTGTGGCATGGGGCCCTGGGGCTGGGCTGGGTGTGGGAATTAGGTGGGAATGGAGGGGTGGGCCATGTGCTGACCCCTTGCCTGCCTGTGCACGTGTACGTGTGCACATTCGTGTGTGCGCCCCTGCATGTGCACACCCTGCCAGTGACCTCCCCCACAGTGCTCTGTGGGAGGACCTTGGGCTGGGGGTGGCCGCTGACTCCTGTTCCCTAACCACTCCCCTCTGCCCCCACAGCTGTGAGGAATGACCGGAATAAGAAGAAGAAGGAAGCCCCTAGGCCAGAGTGCTCCGAGAGCTACACGTTGACAGCCGAGGCAGGGGAGCTCATCGAGAAGGTGCGCAAGGCGCACCAGGAAACCTTCCCCGCTCTCTGCCAGCTGGGCAAATACACTACGGTAGGTATGGCTTCTTGGGCCAGGTGTGGGGGGGCCAGTGCCACAGCGCCCAGATTGGGCCCAGGGCATCCCTTCTGCTAGACTTGCCTCCCCTCGCCCCAGTCCGGACCTCCCTATTCCCACTCCCTCTCTTCTACCTCATCCGGTGGCCCCCTCCCAGGGAGTGAAGGGCGGGTAGAGGGCTGGCTGAGAAGGGGGTCATGAGGAGAAGCCCTCACTCTCCCGTCCTCCCAGAACAACAGCTCAGAGCAGCGTGTTTCTCTGGACATTGACCTCTGGGACAAGTTCAGTGAACTCTCCACCAAGTGCATCATTAAGACTGTGGAGTTTGCCAAGCAGCTGCCCGGCTTCACCACCCTCACCATTGCTGACCAGATCACCCTTCTCAAGGCTGCCTGCCTGGACATCTTGGTGAGGGTCCTTGCCCTGCCCACCTGGGCACTGCCCCATGGCCTTGGAGGATGTCCTGCTGCTCAAATAGCCACCTTCCCAAATACCAGTCTGCTGTCGACCTGCCCACATGCCCACCCACACAGACATCCCCGCTTCCTCTCTCCCGTGTGTCCACCTGTCCGGTTAGCCTCTTGGCACCTGATGAGCACTGGTTCACCCATTCACCTGTGCACCTGTCCACCCATCATGCCCTCCTTCTTTGCCAGCCCTCTACCCAGCCTCCTCTCCATCTCCCCACTGAATCTTTCATCTGGTCTGGCCACCTGCCAGGTGGTGATGCTGGCTCCAGGGTTGCTGGGAGGATGGACCGAGTTCCTGACTCGGTGATCCTCTGCACCCAGATCCTGCGGATCTGTACGCGGTACACGCCCGAACAGGACACAATGACCTTCTCAGATGGGCTGACCCTGAATCGGACCCAGATGCACAATGCCGGCTTTGGCCCCCTCACGGACCTGGTCTTTGCTTTCGCCAACCAGCTGCTGCCCCTGGAGATGGATGATGCTGAGACTGGGCTGCTCAGTGCCATCTGCCTCATCTGTGGAGGTGGGCAGGAGCCGGGGCCAGGGCCAGGGTCTGGGTACAGCCCCTGGAGCCTCTTCCAGGGAGCAGCTCAGGGACCATCAGATCAGAAAGGGACCTTGGCCCGTGTAAGACTGCTCTTGGAGGGGGAAACCAAGTCCCAGAGGGAGAGTGTCTTGTGTGCAGCTACGCAGAAAGGGAGTGGTGGTGGAGACCTGAACCCTGATCTAGGTGCTCCTTCTGGGGGGTTAGAGGGTCAGGCCTTCCAGGTTCAAATCCTGGCCAGCTTGTGACTTTCAGCAGATTTCCAAACTTCTCTGAGTGCCTGTTTCTGTATGAGGGGAGAGAGGGGTAATAATGGTCTCCACCTCATAAAGCTGATTGGCAGTAATAAATAAGGCACAGTGTGCCCAGCGTACGACCCAGTAAATGCTGGCTGCTGTTACTATTTTATTGTTATGAGTTCTGCCGTGTTGTGCTGGTGTCTACAATAATGGTGAGAGTGGGAGAATACCTGGACAGCTTCCCTCTGCCTGAGAACGGCCCTGCCTGTGTTCAGGGGGCCTGTCCCTATGAACTGGCTGTGAGGGTGGGCTGTGGGCAACCCCAGTCCGCCGCTCTTCTCTGCTCACATTTTGAGAGCCTCTTAGGGCCTTTCTTGGAGCCCACTCACTCCCTCCGCTGCCCTGTTTGGGGAGGCCCCAGGAGCAGAGATGCGCAGCCCGCAGCCTGGGCAGGCGCGCCCTCCAGTGGCCAAGGTTGGGAGTGCAGCTGTGTTCTTCGCTTGGTCGGACCCCTGCTCAGGGGGCGTTTCTGCTTCCTCAGACCGGCAGGACCTGGAGCAGCCCGACAGGGTGGACCTGCTGCAGGAGCCGCTGCTTGAGGCGCTGAAGGTCTACGTGCGGAAACGGAGGCCCAGCCGCCCCCACATGTTCCCCAAGATGCTGATGAAGATCACAGACCTGCGGAGCATCAGCGCCAAGGGTGAGGTTCCCACACTGGGTGAGCTGGACCCCAACACCTGGCCCAGGGCCCACTGCCCCTACCCGGGGCCAAGCCCCCACAGCCGGGCCAACATCCTACATCTTTGTGGCCAGGACGATGTCCCACTCACTTGGACTGCCCTCATGCCTGAACCCACCCCCTGCTTGTGAGCTCCAAGCTGTCAGGGTCACCTTTGCATGGTGGTTGCAAGGAGCGTGGCTCTGGAACTAGACTGTGGGAGTGTGTGTCCTTGAGCGGTTTCTGAGCCTCAGTTTCCCACTGGAGTGAGGATAATGATGGTGTCAACAAAATTTTGAGGTGTCAGTAGCAGAGTCTGGAGCCCACAGCACACAGGAAGGGCCCAGTGTCAAGCCCAGGCAGTCTAACCCCAAAGCTGAGTTTGGAACCCCTTTGTCCTGCTGTCCCTCAGCCTTGGGGCCTTGAGAGAGCTGGCTTATGTCCAAGAACTGAGCCCCGCATTCAGTGCCCAGTGCATGCTGGTATGGGTAGGGTGGATTGTCCCTGCCCTCCGCCTGCCCTCCCGGGCCGGGCCTGCGGGCGTGCTGACCTCTGCCTTCTTTCCCGCAGGGGCCGAGCGGGTAATCACGCTGAAGATGGAGATCCCAGGCTCCATGCCACCTCTCATCCAGGAAATGCTGGAGAACTCCGAGGGCCTGGACACTCTGAGCGGACAGCCGGGGGGCGGGGGGCGGGATGGGGGTGGCCTGGCCCCCCCACCCGGCAGCTGTAGCCCCAGCCTCAGCCCCAGCTCAAACAGAAGTAGCCCAGCCACCCACTCCCCGTGACTGCCCGTGCCCATGGACACAGCCTTTGGCCCACGCCCTGGTTTTTCTCTGCCTTTCTACCAATGATGTGACCCCCACCAGCCCTGCCCCCACCTGTTCTTCCTTCCCTGGGGGGCAGGAGGGAGGAGGCGGCGACTCTTCGGGACAGAGGCCTGGGCCTGAGATGGACTGCCTGCCTCTGCAGCCCGGCTGCCCTCAGGGGCAGGGCTGTGAACTGAGTGAGGACCCCTGGTTCTGGGCCTTGGATGGGGCCTGGAGGCCTCTGCTCATCAAGACATCCTGCCCATGTCTCCACATCTTCATCACCAGCAAATGCCAGGACCTGGCTCCCCCATCCTCAGAACTCACAAGCCATTGCCCCCCGGTTGGGGATTCCCCCCTGCCTCGGTTGGTGACAGAGGGGGTGGGCCAGGGCTGGGGGTTCTCCCTGTACATACCCTGCCATACCAACCCCCAGGTATTCTCGCTGGTTTGTTTTTAATTTTTTTGTTTTGATTTTTTTTAATAAGAATTTTCATTTTAAGCACATTTATACTGAAGGAATCTGTGCTGTGTATCCGGGGGAGCTGGATCCAGAGCTGGAGAGGGTGGGGCCTCGGGAGGGGAGGGGCTCAGAGGGGCTCCCACTCTCTCTCCTTGCCCCTGTGCCCCCTGGCCCTCCTCCCCAGCCTTTTCTCCTCAGTTTTCTCTTTAAAACTGTGAAGTACTAACTTTGTGAGGCCTGCCCTCCTCTTCTCCCTCTGCCTAACCACTGGGTGTGGATAGTTCCAGGCAGCCCCAAAAGGAGGGGCCCCCCCCTAAGAGACGGGGCAGGGGCAAAGCAAGGGGCTCTCAGAGTAAGTGTGTTTCTTGGCCCTGTGTCCTGGCGGAGCCGCCTCCCCATCAGGGCCCACATCATCTAGGCTCTGTCGCTCCCACTGTGAAGGGGCCGGCCAAGGGGTCCACATGGCCCTGCCCCCCAGCCTCACAGCCACCAGCACCGCCCACAGGGCCCCCGACACACACACACATACACACACCCAGTGGACAGATGGGCTGATAGACACACTTGGCCTAAGTTCCTCCATCTCCCTGGCCTGCCCCTCACCCTACACCCATGCCCCCTCCTTGCCCCGCAGGACGGGCCTGCAGGGGGTCCCTTCCCCCCCTCCCCTGCACCCCCGGCCTGGGGGAGCTGGTTCTGCCCTGCCTTCCTTGCCCCGGGGTTGGGGTCTCATGCCCCCAGAGCCCGCTGGTGCACCTGTTACTGTCGGACTTTCCACTGAGATCTACTGGATAAAGAATAAAGTTATATTTATTCTACACATGCCTCAGAGCCTTGCTGCCTCGCTGCCTCCTCTCGGTGTCTGGCCAGGGGGCTGTGGCCAGGGATCAGGTACAGGCGCTGGGGGCCAAGCTGCCTTGTGCAGCCCATCCATCCCTCTGCATCCAGGAAGGACTGTTCTGCCCACCCCTACAGTCACTGCGGGCAGGAGGCACAGAGGACGAGTTGCAGGGAAATCTGGACACTCCTGGGTGAGAGGATTGAGTGCGGCAGGCCTCCAGGGTCCTCAGAGACCAATTTTGCCCACCCCTTAGACTATATGTATATATAATCAAGACCCAGAGAGGCCAGTGTCCTTGTCCAGGGTCACACAGCAAATTGGTAGCAGATTGGGGACTAGTATCCAGGCTCCCACCTCTCGGCCAAGGATTTTTCCTGGATCCCCGAAGCCCCTGAGATTTCAAGTACTGAGGTCTGGGGAGGTGGCAGCGGAGGAGGTATCTTGGGAGGGTTAACGGAACCCAGGGCTGGAAGGGCTTCCTGGGCAGGAAAGGTTCCTTCTACTTGGGTCTGCCTAACATTTCCACTTTAACCACAAGGTGGCAGCAGCAGCACTTATCCCACTGTCTGGCCCAGGCTGGAGCCAGGGTGGACATAGTTTCCTCTGACTTATTTTCTAACTCTTTATGCATCTGATAGAAATTTAACATACATACGCACATGCTTTTAAGAAATAGTTATGCTGTCACATTGTATTGTGAAAGAGGAATGAATGGAAGGTGCTATGAAGTATGTTAAGTGCCCAAGTATGTTAATGCTTGGTCACAACCCCCACAGCAGATATGACATAGTCCTAAATTTAACTCTATTTTTAATGAGTACATTTGGATTTAAAAGAAGTAGGTTGGAAGCCATTCTGTACATAAAGCTCAGGAAGATCAGAGTATGGGTGGATGTTGAAATAACAACTGAGAATGTGTAAGAAAACCATGCAAATCTGCCACATGAAACCTTAATGTTTTATGTGTAAAACAGGTTTTGGGCTCAGCTAATTATGGAGAGGTTTTTCACTATATATGAAGGTCTAGCAGCACATTCTGTAGTCCTGTGTGACCATTCTTTGTTGTGGAAGGACATCTTGGCACTTTTAGCACCCGCCCACCAAATGCCAACAGGGCTCTTCTCACGGTGAGAGCGAACCTGCCGTCCCTCACGTTCACAAAGTGCTGCCCTGGAGCAGTGCCTGTGCTGCTGGGACCGTCTGGGCTTGAGGTTGCCCCTCGGGTTCACAGTTCATCACTGAAGAGCAGTTTCTCAACCATGAATGTGACATTTTAGGCCCAGAAATGTTTGTGGTGGTGGTCGCCCTGTGTGCTGAATGCTTAGCTGCACACCTGGCCTCTGCCTACTAGGCGCTAGTCACACCTTCCCCCTGGCTGTGGCAACCAAATATATCTGCAGACCTTGCCATACATCCCCTGGGGGCAAAACTGCCCTCAGTTAGGCACCATTACTCTGGAGGCTGGTCACTGAGAGCTATGAGCTTTACTCTGCTCCATGGGGCAGACTGACCCAAGCATGGTGACTGGGACACAACCTGGCATGGGCAGAAACGGGTTTGCTTGGGGTCCCAGAGATAACCAGGCTGGCACAAGGCTTGGAGGGCTTCCTGGAAGAAGTGCTTCAAAGCAGGAGATTTAACTAAGTGGGGCACAGATGTGATAAATTGCTTTGTGTGATCAGAAACTGTCACCAGCTCTGTGTTTTAACCCTTTTGGGTTTTGGTTGGAATGATGGAAGAGGTAAGGCTCTAGAGGCTGGACCAGTGAGGACAAGGCTGGTCCAGGAGCTGGACTTGATCCTCAGGGTGATGGGGGTGAAGGAGTGGAAGTGCAGGGGGCAGGAGCAGAGGCTGTGGGAGTACTGCCGGCCATCAACAAGAGGGCTGGCCCTGGGCAGCCCCTGAAGGGGTGAAGGGGCACAAAAGGAGGAGATGCTTAGGAGGTTACTGGGAGGCCAGGTGATTGATGGTGTGTGGGAAGTGGGCGGGTGACAGGCTATGGCAACAGCAGGTGGAGGTGGCTTGGGTGAAGGGAGACACCAGCAACTGAGAGAAGAGCTAAGGAACTTGGGGTTGCCTCTGAGGTGCTTGTGACACTGCCCCCACCCACTGTTCCTCACCCCACTCCAGCCACACTGGCACCCTGCTGGTTTCAAACACTCCCAGCATTTTCTTGCCTCAGGGCCTTTTGCCCTCACCATTCCCTCCATCTGGAATGTTCTTCCTGGAGATGGCTTCAGGGCTAGCTAGCCCCTTGCTACATTCTGTTCCAGTGTCCCTTCTCGGGGATGCTCCTCTCTCTCCCCATGCCTCCCACTATCCGGGGTATAGTCTGTCTTTGTTTTCTGCCTTCCCCACCATCACATAAGCTCCGCAGGGCAGGTTCTGTTCACCACTGTAGTCTCACACCTGGATCTGCCTGTTCAATGCAGCTGTCACTAGCCATGTGTGGTGACTGAGTAAAAGGGAGCACCTATGGGCACAGGTAGCTGGGCCATTCAGAATGAGCCCTCCAGCTGCCTGCGGAGTACAGACAGGAAAGCTGAGGAATAGAGGCGCAAGAAGGAAGACAGTGGACGAAGGGCCAGGGACATAGGAGGAAATCTGGAGGCGTGGGTCACGGCAGTCTGCTCAGCAGGGTCTATAAGGCCCAGGGTACTCTTCAGCGGTGACCCCTGGATGTCATGCAGACAGCTCTTTGTATTCTGTATTAGCCCAGGAGGGAAGAGGGTGGTGGCTGCAGGGAAATGCAGGGCCAGGAGCATATTTTGGGGGTGTTTCTTCTGAGGATGGAAAGGACTTAAAGCATGTTTATGGCGGGGAATAGCAGCAGAGTGAGGAGCGTGAAGCTAGAGAAGAGTCCTGCCCTCTGACCCCACGGCCCAGCCCTACTCTGCCCTATGAAAGGGCCCAGCCACCGTGCCGAGGCCACCAGGTTGAGAGTGTGGACGATGCCCACAAGTCCTACCATACTGAGGCTGCCCAGGGAGAAGGTGCCTCCCCCCTTCCTGTGATGCCTCTGCAGGGAGGTTGGGAACCACTGTGGCTGCTGCTGGCACTGGGCCCTGGCCACCCACACAATGCCTATCAGAGAACTCTCTCTCTCTCTCTCTTTCATATACACACACAGCTCACACATGCACACAGATGCATTCATGTGCAGAATTCACACAGGGTGTGCATGTGCACACACAGCTCACACAGGGTGCACACATGTGCACATCTAAAGCTCACGGCATATATGAGTGTGTGCATGCCCATAAAGAACTCACACTGGTTTGCATGTGCACACGCACACAAAACACACCGCATGTGTGTACATGCGTGCACATACATAGCCTGCACAGAGGGCACAGTTTGAACCAGGAGAGTCTTGGGATGCTGGCATCACAGTTGTCTGTACCCAAGTCACCACCTGAACCTCTGCTTTCTATTCTGCTCTGTCCTCTCCACCTGCTCTAGCCCCATGGCCTCCTTCCTTTCTCCTTGGATCCCCGTGCCAAGGACCTGCCTTAGTTCATTCTATGGCTCCAGCTCAACTGGGAGCATCCGGGAAGTGAGGATGCTACCCGGATGCTGTGCTGTTCGGGCGGGGGTCTGCGTACTATCCTTGCAGAAGCCACTTCTGCCTTCTGCCGTGAGCAGGGCGGGTAGGGTCCGGCCTCTGACCTCACCTTCCTCCCAAGGCATGCCTGCTTCTAGACGGCCAGGTCCTGGCGGACAGTGGCCAGAGACGTCTTGCTGCGGCCGCTGCCGCCCTCGCTGTCGCCGGCCGGGGCCCGGTGCGCATAGGCTGGCGGGCCGTCGGGCTGGGGGCCCGGGCATCGGGAGGGCAGGGCTGGCGGCGGCGGCGGCGGCGGCGGCGGCGGGAGCAGCTTCTGCGCCTCCTCGTGCGCGAGGTTGCAGAGGTTGTCGCGCTGGACTGCGGGGTCAGAGCCCCCGGCGCGCGGGCGGCCCTTCCAGAGCAGGTGGCCCAGCTCGGCCACGCTGAGCAGCGCCGAGAGCAGACCCACCGCGAAGTAGAAGACCACGAAGACGGTCTTCTCGGTGGGCCGGCTCACGAAGCAGTCCACGGTGTGCGGGCACGGCGGGCCGGCGCACGCGAAGTGCGGGGCCACGCGGAAGCCGTAGAGCAGCGTCTGGCCGGCCAGGAAGGCCAGCTCGGCCAGCAGGCGCAGCGCCACGCTGAGCAGGTAGCAGAGG